TTGCACTTGAATGTTAACCAATTACAGTGCTGGCCAAATGTTTTTGCACCCCTTCAATTCTGCCAGGTATTGCTCCATTCCTCCCAACAACTTATTGCAATTACAAATGCTTTAATATTAATAGGATATTTTAGCCAAAGTCCTTAATCGATTCAATTTCGATTCATGCAGTTGTCGATCTGCTTTTACAGTAATGAAAGTGGTTCAACGTGTTTTTAAAATACTCATGTTTTTTATTTTTTCCTGTCATATTAAACACAAAGTGCAAACTTGTAAATCAAATAGTTTACACTTAAGATGTAAACAAAACTGTCTCAAAAGTGAAAACTTGTAGTGAAAGGTGAAACAAATTGAAGCCTCACGTTTAGCCCTGAAAGGTTTCTTATTGGATGTTAGCATAGCTTGATATGATTTCTGAGATTTGTAGCGTCTCTACAATAACTGACCTCTCCGTTACAGATCTTGCAAACTGCTTTTGTTTAATCCAGTACATTATCTTTAGTTGTTTTAAATCCAAAACGATTCCAAACATCAGACTTCAGTTTGCACAGCTTGCTGAGCGGTTTGATACTTGTTTCAGCATTTTCAAACGCCTGCTTATTTGAATGTGAATGTCACGCACTCTAAAACTAATTGATCTCATTCCCTACACATCGATTTAGCAAACATTTAAAGGAAACAATCCAAAATCGATTAAATCGTTTTTTTTTTACCCAGCCCTAGATATTAATATCTTCATTTATTTTTGCAGCAAATGAAAAAAAAACAAAAATTATTGTCAAAAAGCCAAATTGGATACAATTCCACACAAAAATAAAAAAAGGGTGCGGCAACAGTATCGGCACCCTTAGAAAAATTATGTCATGCTTCTCTAACTACACATTTCATAAAACTTCATGTTAACATGTCACCACCTACTGGTGGAAAGCATAACTACAGTTATTAATATAATCTGTGATATTTTTGCTATTTCTCTTTTTTTCCCCCCCAATTTAAGTTTAAAATTTGTCTTGATTGGTGTGTAAAAAAATCTTTTGTACGTTTTTTTATGTGTAAAATGTCTTAGAAGAGAACGATCTTTTAAGATATGCTGTATTTCTATCATTTTAGTGAAATTAGCTCAAGCAGACAGTGAAAGTGTTCATGCAATTTGGGCAATGATGAGCAAAATGAAAGGTGTTGGTCGTTTTTGTTCAAAAATAATAGTTTTTCCACAGTTTTTGGTTTTAATCTGGTTGGGAGTTTATAACCGACCAATCTTTTGGTTAAAACAACCAATCTAATTTGGTAAAAGGGCAGACCTATTTTGGCCAAAATACTGATTAAGTGGTATAGCAGCTTTCAAATGCAAGACCAAGTCTTAAACCATCAACCTTGGAATAAAAGGCAAATTCTTACAGCATCCCAATCTCAACACTAATTGTCTATAGAAAGCAATTCTACTGAACTAAAACCAGCGGCTAGCTGGCTGCTTGGGTTTAATTCTATAATTTTCAGTCAGTCAGCAACNTCTGAGCATTCTCCGGTTCCCTCCATAGCTACAAACTTAGCACAAGCGCTCCAGGCGCTAACGGAAGTGGTAGCGTTGTGCAACACAAAAACCCTCCGGCTAGACCAGTGTGCTGCGTATTTAACGGCATTGCTTATTACAATACAATAAATTTAGCGAAGCTTCGAGGCAGATAAATTTCCTCGAGGATTTTTTGTAATCGAGTTACTCGATTTACTCGATGAATCGTTTCAGCCCTACTTAAGATGTAAACAAAACTGTCTCAAAAGTGAAAACTTGTAGTGAAAAGTGAAACAAATTGAAGCCTCACGTTTAGCCCTGAAAGGTTTGTTATTGGATGTTAGCATAGCGTGATATCTTGTCAAATGATTTCTGAGATTTATAGCGTCTCTACAATAACTGACCTCCGCTTTACAGATCTTTAGTTGTTTTAAATCCAAAATGGTTCCAAACATCAGATTTCAGTTTGCACAGCTTGCTGAGCGGTTTGTTACTCGTTTCAGCATTTGCAAACGCCTGCTCATTTGAATGTGAACGTCACAAACTCTAAAACTAATTGATCTCATTCCCTACACATCGATTTTGCAAAAATTTAAAGGAATCGATCCAAAACCGATTAAATCGTTTTTTTTTTTTTACCTAGCCCTAGATATTAATATCTTCATTTATTTTTGCAGCAAATAAAAAAACACAAAAATTATTGTCAAAAAGCCAAATTGAAAACAATTCCACACAAAAATAAAACATGTGGTGGTGGGTCAAATATGTTAACATGTCACCACCTACTGGTGGAAAGCATAACTACAGTTATTAATATAATCTGTGATTTTTTTTTGTTGCTATTTCTCTTTTTTTTCCCCCAGTTTAAGTTACTTTAAAATTTGTCTTGATTGGTGTGTAAAAAAATCTTTCTTAAGTTTTTTTTGTGCGTAAAATGTCATAAAAGAGAACGATCTTTTAAGATACGCTGTATTTCTATCATTTTAGTGAAATAAGCTCAAGCATACAGTGAAAGTGTTCATGCAAATTGGGCAATGATGAGCAAGATGAAAGGTTTTGTTCAAAAATAATAGTTTTTCCACAGTTGTTTTTGGTTTTAATCTGGTTGGGAGTTTATAACCGACCAATCTTTTGGTTAAAACAACCAATCTAATTTGGTAAAAGGGCAGACCATTACAAATAGCAGCTTTCAAATGAAAGACCAAGTCTTAAACCATCAACCTTGGAATAAAAGGCAAATTCTTACAGCATCCCAATCTCAACACTAATTTGTCTATAGAAAGCAATTCTATTGAATACTAATATTACAACTAAAACCAGCGGCTGGCTGCTTGGGTTTAATTCTATA